TCCCATACATCAGGGGCGTGCCCATGGCTTCAGAATAGGGTAAGCCCAAAGCTTCCAAAATTACTATACCTATGTTACTTTCTTGACTTGGCGAGCTTAAAAAATTTACGATTTGTATAAGATTCTTAATTTTATTATGTGTTATATTACAATGATATTAAATTTCAATTAATCAGTAGTTGACAATTATCTAGAAAGAGATCATTCTGTATAAAGAATGACAAGGATACACTGTTGTCAAATTTAATTTTAGGTTTAGAGAATCATGCCAGAATCCACACCAGTTTAGTATATTTCTTGGGGTTCAAGATTTTTTTAATACATCTTTATGCTCTTGCGATTTAATAGCAATAGTTATTTCGATATTATTCAATTTAGATAGTCATAGCAGGTAAATTAATTGATATTATTGTGTTCAAATTTAGTCTACGAAATATCGATATTTTAGAATTTTTGACATCGATATTATCGATATCAGTGAATTTTAAATATCGATATGTATATCGATATTTTGGTCTCGATATTATCGATATTATCGATATTCCGATATATCGTTGCAACCCTAGATGTGAGTAACGTAGCACTTCCGGTTTTCGAGAAATCACGTGATTTCTATTTCAAACGAAACCACACAAAATCTCCGAAGTTCTCAATTAATTAAATACATTTTTTTTTTGGTGAACATTTGGTTCTCTGGTTTGCTAGTTATATATGATTGAGTTAACCAAATCCAAATATACATAGAATATATTTTTTATTTTGTAAATTATATATTTATATTATTTAAGTACTTATTTATTTCTGGTTTTTAGACATGAAATTGTTTTAAGGTTTTGTAATTCTAAATATTTCTATGTAAATATCCTTAGAATATTAAAAATAATAATACCTATAAAAAATGAGGTACGGGTAATTTGAACCTAGGGGCAATTTCAATATTTTCACAATTTAAGCGCTGTTGTTCGCCGTATAGTGGTATAAGGATCCTGATTGTAATAGTGTACACAAACCATAAATATTAATTTACGAATTAGACAAGTTTTTAGTTCTTCATCTAAAACATTGGAAATATTAGAAAATATCACAATGCTACCGTGAGAACGGAAGCCCAACAATCCAATGAATAGAATACCACCCAAGGACTTTTTGGTGAACACTATACGTATGCAAATCGGAGCCCTTCGTAACCAATAAACATAGACAAGGAACGTTGGCGTAGATCAGAAACCGGCGCGTTTGGTATGCGGCGCGCGCGCGCGCACAAATTGTCGATGGATATCGTGCCGATAATCCGTGATTAAGAATAGGGCAGCTATGGAGTCGGAGTTAAAACGGCAAATAAAAAAAAACTATATCTTTGAGACCTGTATCGCCTCAAATAATATTGGTTATTTTAATAGAAATTTTCTTTACTTTTAAACATCTAGTAGTTAAATATTTAAAAATTAAAATATAGTGAACTACAATTCCTCTTTTTCTTTCAGATGTATCCAAATAATACTTGATAAAACTTGTTAATGTATTTCAATTGACATTGTGGGTTACCACCTACAATGCGAAGAGATGGCGCTGTCTTGCAGCCTAAAAAATAATAGAAGAAATTCGACACGGCCATTAAGGTCGCAGTAGAATAATAGGTCAGTGCATCCGCCAGGATAGCGGAGAGTGCGGTTTCGAGTCTCATCTACTGCTTTGACCGTGTGGATTTTATTCTAGTAAAATTTTCTTTTCATTGAAATATTTTGTTTTGTTTTTGGTTTTCCAACATGATCGTAATATTTATTGTATATTTTTATACAACAAAATATTTTCTATATTTTTTATTTTATATCTTTCCATTTTCCAGTTAGAAAAAAAACATTATTTTGAATAGATTCAAAATACGTAAAATTAATTAAAACCTTGATTTTTACACAACGAATACTGTACTGAACTTTTTTTTAATTTTTATTATTTTTGTTATTACATATTATTGACTTGGTATGATTTGTTTTGAAGATCATTTAAAATGTGTGAAACTTACAAATGTAAATGTGTGTTAAATGTAATTGTTTTTTGTCGTTTTTATCACAATAAATTAAAAAAAAATGTAATGTATATTATAGTTATATATATTAAAGTTAAAGTTAATTTATATATGTTAAAGTTTGTATGTTTGTTACTCAAAATCACGCAAAAACGAGTATTACATGGATTGAGACTTTTTATCCCGAAAAAATGTTAGGTTCCTGAGGTATTCTCCAAAAACTAAAGTTAATGCGGACAAAGTCGCGAGCGGCTGCTATGTATTCTTTAAGTAAGGGAAGGATCAAACGATCATGGCTATCTTCGTATTGATCAACTATAAAGTTGAAAGTTACACCTTTCATAGCGCAACAAATAATATATATTTACGTACTCAAAGCAGCTCCATACTAACTTAGCACGATGACTACCTACTATGTGACATAACGACACGCACCAATATTTGTAATGAGCGTACGCAAATTTGTCACTTCAGGGCTAATGTTTACTACATACAGATTTATGGCTCGCTTTATATAAGAAGTTATTAACATCTAATATATAAAATTCTCGTGTCACGGTGTGCGTAATTGAACTACTCCGAAACGGCTCGGCCGATTTTCGTGAAATTTTATATGCAAATTCAGTAGGAGTAGGTCTGAGAATCGGACAACATCCATTTTTCATCCACCTTAATGTTAAGGATGGTCCACCCTTAAATTTTCTTGTCCTGGACAAAATTTTTCGTTTTTATATTTTTATAACTCATATATCATACAAAAATACAAGCAACCCTAAATTTTCACCCTTCTACCACCAACCCCATTTTTTATGGCGATACGAAGTTCGCTGGGACAGCTAGTTTTTCTATATTAATTTACTTCATATTTCATATGGGGGGTCTAAGATCGTTAATATAACTAGTATCCTAATTTAATTATCCTATCAATTACTCTTGGTCGTTAGCCCGTATTCGGATGCACGAAAGACGTTGTGTCGGGTAACCAAATCGAAAACTACCCGAATGCGGGCACTCGTATTCGGGCTAGCAACCAAATGTGATCGCACCATTTTTTGTCCCATTCGGTGTCGAGACCCTTGGACTGTGGGGTCCTAGCGCTATAAGGCTTTTTAAAGAAATAGCAAAATTTTTTAAGGTTTTTAGTTTTAGGTTCATTGTTATAGTATATTTTTTGTTTTAAGCTAGTATTACATAATAGTATATTTTTTAAAACTCTTTTAGAAATAAATCGCACAATAAGGTAGGTTTATTTTTATTGATGTTCTTTAAATACGTCATGCCCTTTCAAATGTGTATTTTTTGAAATCTAAAGATAATTTTACTAGAATAAATTCCACGCGGTCCGGGAAACAGACGGGACTTGAAACCGCACCCTCCGCTATCCGAACGTATGCAATGACAAATTATGCTACCGCGACCTTAATGGCCGTGTCGAATTTCTTGTAGTCTTTCTTAGGCTGCAAGGCAGCACCATCTCTCCGCATTGTAGGTAATGCACAATGTCTAATGTAATACCTTTACAAGTATTACACATTGTAAGAAGATATATCAATTGAAGTTTATATTTAACTAGCTGTGCCCCGCTGTGTCACCCGCGGTTTATTAGGGGTATTTTCCCGTAAAACGTAGCCTGTGTTAATCCAGGGTGTCAGCTAACTCCATACCAAATTTTATTAAAATAGCTCCAGCCGTTTAGACGTGAAGAAGTAACAAACATACACACTTACAAACTTTCGCCTTCATAATATTAGTGTGATTAGCAAGTAACTAAAGCATTTGTGAACGGATTACTTTAAGGTTCTGTATCCAATGAGTGAAACAGAAACCTAATCCATCGAATAGTGTGCAGTAAGTATCTCAAGAACCGAATACACTTAATAAGACAAATAATAATATTAAAAACATGTCTACAAAATTTTATGCTCCAACTACCATTAAATCTTGTACAATAGTATAGAACCCTTGGTATGTGATTTCAAAACTAGCACGTGGTCGTTTTTAGGGTTCAGTAACTCAAAACAAAAAAAAATGATAAGATCACTATGCTGTCTGTCTGTCAAGATCTTTTTTTATCTTGGGAACGTGTAGGGGTATCGTATCGAAATTTATAATATATACCTACTTTGGTTTACGGTCTCTTGAAGCAGTAAAAACACACTAAGCTAAAACGTAAATAAGAGTTACCGCCGTTTATGTTGCGTACCTACAAAGTACGGAAACCTCGGACTCGCCCAAAGTCCGACTCGCACTTGTCTGTTGAAATTTTTTGAATCGTCCAATATATTTCGTACCACCCATTCAGATCATCAACGAATCGAACTACCCATGATTTTGCTGAAGGAGAAAAAGAATTAGTATCTGAATTTGCTTTAATTTTTTTTTGCTGAATATTCTAAAATGTTATTAATTAATGAGATTATTATTTTTACAAATTTTAGCGCAGAGGCTGTTGGTGTTCAATGTATGATACGAATAATCATGCGAAACAGCTATTTTGCGATTCGCAATGTCGACGAATAAAAAAATGTAGTGTAATTGAAATTCTGTGCCAGACGCTTATGGCGCTATGAAAGGGTAAAGAAGTAATGATCAGTGATGGATGACACTAGGCCATTTCATTTATATCACTAATGATGCAACTTCGCGCGTAACTGTGAATAAATTTAAACAAAAATTAGCACCATCACCTTTGAACCAATCATAGGAAAGCGAGTATAAATAAAGTAAAAAAAACAAAAACTAAAAACAAAAAAATACAAAAATAAATAACTTGGATATAAAATACACAACTAAATCATGATATAATAAAATATGTATTTACTTACCTTTTTGCTACATACCCTTTATGTAAATAATCAAGATTCAAGTATGTTTTTCCCCGATTTCGTTTCACATAAGATTTCCATTGTTATATAAAATAAACCAGTCAATAAAGTACTTATGGCATTTCACATCTTATGAGCTAGGTACTTACCAATTCTGCTACTATTTGTTTCTGTAGCTGTTGGCACTCGTTGATGTTGGGCTTTGTGAATGTGTGCGCGTTGAACTTAGGCTATGGACAAAGCAAAGATCAATTAAGGCGCCTTCTTCACCGGTTAATATAGTTTTCGTTGCTGTACCTGATGGAAAACTATATTAACTATATTAGTCCGCCATTGGACATTTGTGCATAAAGAATAAATAAATAAAAACTATGATGTACGTAGATGTATACGCAGTGGAAGAACAGTTAAAACCTTTTAATGAAACACACATATGGCCTGATACTTTGGTAACTAACTTCATCTACTTGTAGTCATAAACAGCTAACTTCACAGATACTGCTTACCGACGGCAGCGCGGCTGGTGCCTAAAAAATGAACTAAATATTCTATAAATTTTCAGGGACAGGCGGGCTAATGCTTTAGCACGTAGCGATCGTTCTCCTCTAACCTCCATGCGTAATAACCTCTAATGTGACAGATTAGTATAAACTATATACAGCCAGTATGGCACACCATCCTCCAACATTACCGAATCCGTACAGATTCTCTACCGAGAACCGCATCTTGACCGGCTCATTTTAGGTGTGGTATAGTTTCGTTTTCTAAGGTTTTGTTGGAGTGACAGGACGAGCGATACGAATAGTTTGGTAGTATTCGGAAGCACTTGGTACAGAGCTGTGTATCTGCTCAGTAATGATTCTGTACCCAAACTACTCAGTGAGAAAGCTCTCCTTAAGAACATGCACTTGTTAAAGCATTTATGTTTTCTTATTAACCACATCATCATTACTCTTACACTTTACATACAGACATAGTCTAATGGGAAATCCATATTTAAATTTCTCGGGATATTAATTTTAAAATAAATATATCCTAAGAAGCCACTTCCATATTTTTTTAGCAAAATAATAGCTTTAGGTAAATGTTCATCTAATTATCCGACCAATACCTTTAACACACCCATTCCAAATTTCATTTTCGCGAGAAAAGTATGTATGTCATTCCCCAAAAGTTATTTTTGTACTTATGCATATTAAAATTCGTTACAATCAGTTCAGTGGTTTAAGTGCGAAATTGCAAAATAACAGGCAGAGTTACATCATATTCATAATGTTGTTATAGCGGCAAACTCTTTGAGCAAAACTTCAGGCAAATAAACTTGCATAGGGACTGTCCATTAATCACGATAGGCTCGTAAGGGGGGATCCATAAAAATCACGAAATATCATAAGGGAGGGGGTGGGGGAGTGTAGTATGCATTAAATAATGTTCATGTATTAGTACAAAAAAGTTTCTCGCATTTCTTTCATTCTTTTTATGTCAATCGTAAACAACCTGCAACCTTATCTGTATTTTACAAATATATATTAAAAAATAAAATCTTTGTAGGTACTTAAAAATACACGTGATATATTATCACCTCATCATGTATCGCTGAGGGGGAGGAAGGTTTAAAAAAGGCAAAATAAAACATTACGTGATTAATGGACGGCCCCACAGTAGATGGGTTGTATGTAAAATTGCTACTGGGAAGGCTTCCTTGTTGTTGCTCAAGAAATTTGCCAGGGTATACAAATCTCTAATACATGTGCTACAGAAAAATTTAGGCATTACTAGGCTGACTTTTTTTCGTTAATTTTGACAAAAACATACAGATATAGAAATTATAATAAACAATACATTTTTAATACTTAATAAAAGCCAATTACAAGTTTTCGCAATATATATATTAAACATTTTTTTAAAGGGCAATATATCCTATACTGTTTTGATGATTTTGATTATTGTTAATGCATACCTGTGTAGCCTTCGCGTTTGTTTGGAGAGCTTTGTTGATATCACTGATAGAGTGTATGGACACATCCAATGTTGAGGACTCCATTTTCTCTTGCTTGGTCATATGTTTGGGCATCGCCTTGTTTGCACTTGTTTCAGGATGCTGTTGAAAATGTCAATTCTCAAGTATTTGATAGTGAGGTATTTCGATAAATATTTAGGTACCTCATTAACTTAATCAAAATTGAGATAGTAGTAGGAAGAATACCTACTAATAACGTCATTAAAATTAATTTAACTAGTTTTCTAACTTTTAATTCTTAGTGAATAAATGGTGTTGATTCCGACGCCGACGTGATTCTCTAAACCTAAACTTTAATTTGACAACAGTGTATTCATGTCATTTTCTGTACAGAACAAAAGGAGACACAGATGTTAAACTTAATAATCATGCCAGAATCGACACCATTGCTGTAATTTATGCTGTAGAGCGAAATTTTATTCCATAAAGTAGTAGTAGTAAAGGAGTAGGGAATAAAATAAAGTTTCGTCGGCAGAAAATTTGAGAACGACCCACCGCTAAAGATTAGAGTATTTTCGGAAGACTCGTTAAATACTCTCCAAAAAGTGCAAATAGTACGTAACCGCCGCGATGGCGTCCTTCTGACTACTTTCTATAAATTGTAAAATAACTCCTGTACAATATACATAAGGGTGAAAAAATACAGAAGCACGATTCAGCTATGCACAGCGCCATCTATCGTGGATGCAAGAAGACAAGACTTTATAACAGCTTTGATGTAAACATAATTAATTAATTATACTAAAAATATCTTAACATCATGATTGCAATAAATAAAGGAATTTAGAATCAAAATAGAGGAAACAAATTATCATAAATGAAACGAGACCGCCAAAACCACTATTAAATAATAATATACCTATTTAAATAATAATAACATCTTAAAATTTCAAGTACAAACCACCGTGAAATAGCCACCTTTGAGATATTGGAAGAATTTGTGGCAGTTAAAAAATTACCAAAAAAAAGAGCAAATTATAATATAAATAATGTTCAAATTTAATATAATCTATAATATTATTTCTTACGAAATTATGATGGGTGAGATCATCCTCCCAGTTATTGATCTGGTCAGCGAGTGCTGCAAATCTACCGAACTTCTTTTTGCCTTCCGGCTTTGTTTGTCTTGGCTCTTGCTTCTGCTTTGGAGGTGTGGCTGCAGAGAACTCCAGCTCTGTCCGATGTATAGGTGAAGAGAGGGTTGGCTTATCTGTAATAAAAAAAGATTTATATTAAAGAGAAAATATGAAAAATACATTATAGTAAGGACTAAATAAAAAATAAATTTTATTGTTTGAATTTTCTGAACTTGAATTAAGACTATTGTAAAAATGTGGAACTTAAACATTTGTTACTCAAACTCAAGCACTTCAAGAAAATTTAATTGCTTGGAAACTTTGATTGGAACTTGGAAATCATTATAATCATACTATAAGGTTACCCAGGTTCTAAATTCTGAAGTCCACAAACCCACATGAAAATAGTTTTGTGCAGAAGCTAGTCATTTAAATGCATGTTAATACTACATAAATTATGATAGTAACTACCTAACTTTCTGTCTGTTGTGTTTTCACATCGAAGTTACTAAACAATTTATGATAAATAATGAGAACCTTGCTATATTATTAAAAATGTAAGTGTTAGTCTGCCTATCTGTTAACTCTTCACACTTCACTGAACTACTCGAGATAAAAATTTGTATATAGATAAGATAATAAGAAAGCTTTTATCCCAGACATCAGCGGTTTAGGGATGATGAGTGTAAATAATTGGAATTTGTGGGAAACCAATTTACCTACAAATAAACCTTGGATTGCAGTAACAAAAATTGAAAATAAATACTGGTTAAAATAGAAACTGTCCACAGGCCATTCTATCAAATTGTTAAAAATGTGATGAACTATAAGAATAACACAATAATACGAAAAATAAGAAATTAATACCTGAATACAGATTACCAAGCCTGTCAAGGCGTGACTTGATGTCAGTTCGGAGACCAGCTCTCTCAGTTTTATTCTCCATTTCTGATGATACATTTTCTAGTGCCATTCTATTCGGATCTGAAAATTTATGAAATTTCAAATTGATTACTGCAACATTTCTGAATATCCAGGTCTAATGAGTTAGAATATATAATAGAGATGTGGATGTTGGATCATATAATACAATTCCCTGTTGTATTGAAGTAAAACAATAGTTAAAGTTTAGCAAGTGTTTTAATCAATAATAAATAAATAAGTACTAAATAATTTCATGATAAAATATTACCAAAATTTCACATAATATGTATTATTGTATATATTGTATATATTGTTACACAAAACTTTCTAATATAATAGTTAAGGAAATATAGTTTGCAGTATTCAACATAATTATTTCAATTGTTATGTATTTATCAAACAACAGATATTTTATAGACATAACTTACATTAATTTTCATAAAAATCAGGTTTCCACTCCTACAGTTACTCTAGCATAAGATCTAAGGTCTTGTACCTACTTATTATTATGAAAGATACAAGAGGAAACCACACAGACAAATGAAGCAATTTCTTAATAACCCAACTCAAGTCATTATGACCCTTGAACAAATTAAAGTGGCAAAATAAATAAAACCATTAGCGTTAAATCTGCACACACCATTTGCTAATATATTCCTTGAATTATTATCAAGTTTGGATGACTAATTTTAACTGTAAGTAGGATAACTTTGTTTGGGGATAACATTGAGTAGTTAATGTTATTGATCGGTGTTATGAAACCGAACATAATTTAAATAATATAAATAAGGAAGTAAAAAAGTTTATAAAGAAAAGTTAATAAAAAAAATTACTCTCGAGAAAAGGAGGAGCTCGATGGCGCAACTGGTAGGCGCGTCCGGCTGCGATCGTTGAAGTTAAGCAACTTTTGCAGTGGTCGGTCATTGGATGGGTGACCAAAAATTTACTATCTCGAGCTCCTCCATGCTACGGAAGGCACCTTAAGCCGTTGGTCCCGGTTGCATCTGCAGTCGTTAGCACCCACCAATCCGCACTGGGCCCGAGTGGTGGGTCATGGTCCAATCTCCCTATTCCATCCATAGGGATGGCCTGTGCCCCAGTAGTAGGGACATTAATAGGCTGATGATGATGATGAGCATGTAACAGCATGTAGCAGCATGTAATTATTTAAAACTTTTTGTAACTTCTCCTTTTACAATTTTAAAAGATTTGATCTTGAGGCAGAAAAATCACATAAAACCAAAACTTTTATATTAAATACAGCAGTAGAAATGCAAAACAGTCGAATTTTACTTGTGATTTTTTTTCATGCACTTTTAAATCTATTTGGGGGCTCAACTCAACACAAATAAAAATTAAAGGATTCAGTCCTGATCAATAAGCAAATAAAATGAAGAGGGAAGGCTTTATGCAATTTGGTGGATGACCAACAAATGTTAAACGACAGTAGCAGTAAGTTGTAGCAATAGCGGGGGATGTTAAAGTTTTATCTATCTGACAATCTAAAATTTTATGAGCCGAGTCTTCTCTTTATGTAATAAAGTGTAAACATATGAATGTATAGTTAGCAGTCTCCCTATTTCTGATATACTCTCCAAGGTATGACCTATGTGGTACCCCTAAGTGGGAACATTAATACGTTATAGGTCACTACAAACTTCTTGAGCGAACAGCCAGACAAATAAACTTAAGCAGTAGAAGTTTTAGTATGTAAATTGCTACTATGCAGGCTTCCTTGTCTATGATTGTTGAAGAAGAGAAGAAGAAGTTTACCAGGCCATTTAACTGATGTTGATTTAGCATGACAAATTGAATAAAGAACTCACCTTCAATTTCTTTAATGATAACATTACTGCAGGTAACATTAGAATCATAAATAACACTCATAGGTGCATCGCTTTCCTCAATCTGGACATCTACATGGATATCCTTACTGTGCATAATGTTAATTTCCAAAGATACATCAGAATTACGTCTACTGCCACTGCCTCCAGAGGTTTTAAACTCAGTTTTAGTCACAACAACATCATTACGGCCTTTCTGAGGTGATGCTACAATACTTTGCTCTTTCTTTAAGCTAGGTCTCCTGGTTGCTGTTTTAACAGGACTCTCTGTTTTAATTGATGACCTGTTTGATGACTTCAGTGGACTATCGGATTTCATAGACGATTTTCTTGGAGAAACAATTGTATTTTTACATGTTTTACTGGGAGACTTTACGGCACTTTCTGTTTTTATTATTTCTAAGTTTTCTGTCAAGGGTTTACGTTTCAGTGGAGTCTGGCCGGAACTGGCTAGTTTCTGGTCAATTTTCTCCTGCCTAGCACGCGCCCGCTCCAACATACGCTAGAAATAGATTTTGAAAGTCATTCTGGTTATAATTTGCGATAAGTAGCCGTGACAATTTTAATTGAAGCCAGACCTACCTGAGTAAACGGATCCATTATAAAACTTTACAAATTAGAATTTGAAGCAGTGGAATTATTGCACATTAAGCATAGCTTTCTTCTTTCTTAGTCTTTTATAAAATTTATTTCACGTTCCTTGCTAAAACACTGTTTAATGTATTTAAAACTACTTATTTCAAAGATTTCAACATTTAATCACCCGTTGAAATTGAAAGTTTGACATTCACAAACAGCTTTTTTTAAATTTGTGTCCGAATCATTCGCTAGGTGGCGTACAAAAATCTTTTGCGGTTCGTTCAAGAATAAAATTACAAGATTCTGAAAAGTAACGTAATAAGCATTTATTTTGTTTTATGTAGTAAGTATTTAGTTATCTTTATTTTTTTCTGCAATGGATACCGTGGAATAATGGTATTAAATTTTTAACGGAGTAAGGGTATGGTCTGTTAGCTTTTTAAATTAAGTTTCCGAACGCATGTTTAGGTTTTCTAAAGGCGGAAACACACATACATGCAGCAGGGGCCCGTTGTGGTGCTCACTGGTGTCGATTCTGGCATGATTATCTAAAGCTAAACTTAAATTTGACAACAGTGGTGTCGACTCTGGAATAATTCTCTAAAGCTCAACTTAAATTTGACAACAGTGTAACTCTGTCATTCTCTACACAGTCTGAAAAGGACAGACTGATGTCAAATTTAGTTTTAAGTTTAGAGAATTCTGCTAGAATCGACACCAGTGTATCCCTGTCATTCTCTATAGAGAATGAAAAGGAGAGACTGATGTTAAATTTAGTTTTAGGTTTAGATAATCTTGCGAGAATCGACACCACTGTCGTCGTAACGGTAAGTGTGCACAATAAAGTGTCGCGGCGTGGCGTGCTCTGGCGTTATTTCTCAACAATAGATATGACACCTTTGCGCCACTTAATATGAATGAAGATTTTCAATTTCTCTTAGCCAACGATATTATATACCCTATATATAGATACACCAACACGAAGAAAATCGTGGCCGAAACCTGTCCAAAAGGTACATTGGACGATCCACGTAGCTTCGTAAGACAATCGCGTAGTCAAAAACAATATAAGGCATTTTTGGAACATTAAAAGTCACAATTTATATTATTTAAGCGTGTAACTTCTTGATGTATAAATCTGAAGAAAATATAACTAGAAAAAAATCCACAATGTGAAGAGATGGTACTGCCTTGCAGCTTAAGAATAGCTAGAGGAATTTCGACGCGGCCGTCAGAGCCACGGTAGCATAATTCGTCAGTGCATTCGCCCGGATAGCGAAGGGTGCGGCTTCAAGTCCCGTCTACTGCCTGGTTCGCGTGGAAGTTTTTCTAGATATATTTTCTTCAGATTTAAACATCAAGCAGTTACATGCTTAAAAATATAAATTATAACTATAATTGCTATTTATTCTTTCAAATGTTTAATACTTGAAAAAGTATTCATTTGACATTGTGGGTTACCTACAATGCGAAGAGATGGCGCTGCCTTGCAGCTTATGAAACTTTATCGTCATAAGAATCTATGTTTAGTTAAATTTATTTTGGTATATAAATGGTTACATAATGAATAAACTTGTTTCAATTATTTTATATTAAACATGTGACAGAATTTATGACCTGACTAGGTATTTGCGTGAGGCTTAAATACTATAGTACACGGTCTGCCCTCTCAGCTATGACTTTCATGCCAAACCCTGTCAAAAGCTTTGGCGATAACTAGGCTGATAGCCCCGCTTGTCGTTAGCTTCACTCCAGATGCAAGTCATGTACGCTAGAAGATCACCCGTCGACCGTTTAGGTCTAATGCCATGTTGACGCTCAGACTACACTTTTCTAGGACTTTACACATTACTGGGGTGACTGTTTTTTGCCGATAGTTGGCCGGATCTAAGCGATCTCCTTTTTGGGAAATGCTGAGATGCCATCAGGTCGTTTTCGGTCAGGCTTTCCGGACCTCGAGTGATTGCAATTCGGCAAGAATCTCAAGCTACTTGATTTAATTAATAGGTATCGTAGTGCCATAATCCCGCGTGGTGGGTCATGGCCCAATCTCCTTATTCCATCCATAGGGAAGGCCTGTGCCCCAGCAGTGGGGACATTAATAGGCTGATGATGATGATAATGTAGTGCCATAATAAAGTTATAATGACAGGGCATTGCAAAAATCGATTTGGGAGTTAGCCGCAAAGAGTTTTGTCAGTAAATCGGCATTGATAATAAAGATGCTTTATGTTTAGAGGCATTGAATATAATGTTAGGAATAGTGGTGGTCCCAGTACACTATCCTGTGGAAGTTTTAATCTTATATCTTTATAATTTGATTAGATACGAATAATTGTTTTAGTGGTTATGTCAAGTGTTCAAAATTTTAGAATGGCTCCTATTTATCAGATAAATTCAGCAATTTAAGAGATTAGGACTTAAGGATTGCATGGCTCCAAATTTTTATAAAAAACAAAAAAGAAATTGGTGTCGATTCTAGAGTGATTCTCTATACTTAAAACTAAATTTAACAGCAGTCTCTCCTTTTCATTCTGTATAGAGAATGACAAGGATTGACTGTTGTCAAATTTAAATTTAGCTTTAGAGAATCATGCCAGAATCGACATCATTGTCGTCCATTTTCTTTTTAGCCCCCCGACGAAAAAAATAAAACATAATAATAATATCTTTAATTGCTTAGTTATGTATTTATTTAATAGAACATAAGTTTGAAGAAATATAGGGTCTGCGATGCTACAAATAGTCACTATTGTGGCATTGTAGCACCTAAAGCGGTTATTGCTTTTAGCTAGCGTTTAGGTATGGCGGGTACTTTTCACTTGAGGGCGCACTCGACCAATACGGGCTCAGTCGAGTGCGATAGACACGGCATGGGTGTGCCGGTTGGAGACGGCAGTATCGGCTGGTCGGCGCTCTGCGGGCCCGTCATCGGGTCGCCGCGGCAGAAGTGAGAATCGCTGAGCGGCCATAGATCTTTCAACACAGACCTGTATGAAAGTGAATACATATACTTTATAAGTATAAATAAAGCCTTGTTATGAACTCGAATAACTCCTGAAAGACTACAAAAATTCAAATAATTAATTTAATGGCAACACAGATGATAACAGCATCTTTAAATTAGTTAAAACTAGCTACAAAAATCATATAAATAAACCAGGGGACCTATCTCCTAACGGGATTGCTAAAAATAAAAAAAATGATGTGGTGTCGTGGGACACCAGGTAGGAACGAAGTTCCTTCGGCTAATGTAGAATCGACACAAATTGCAAACTCGCTTGTGTATGCGACTGTCGCGCCTGCGCACGTCTCATTTAACGGTTTTATTCCACGCACTTTTTTCCACGGATTTTTTCTTACGGTTTTACTATCACATTTTTTCAGTTCGGTCGCGCAGCAAAATCCCTATCCCCTCCAAGCCTGCCGTAAGGAACTTCGTTCCAAATATAAATAAAAAAAAATTACCTAATGACCTAACATGCACAGCCCCCCCCCCCCCCCGTATTTTTTCGCAACACCACCTGGCAACCCTGTTAGCGAATAGGCCTACTGATTTGGTTACAATGTTTAAAGTCGGCAACATTCATCTGTCGTGTTAGGGTGCGGCCAGAGTGCACTCAGATTCAGATTCAGATTCTGAAAACAAGCGCGAGAAATAAACAGTGTAGTCGAAGGGTACAGCCAGAGTGCACTCCTGATTCAGATTCAGACTCAGAAAAGAAAAAACGAGAAAAAGCAGGCAACCTGCTTAGACTACACTGTTTATTTCTCGCGCTTGTTTTCAGAATCTGAATCTGAATCTGAGTGCACTTTGGCCGCACCCTTATCCCAGAGTGCACTCAGATTCAGATTCAGAATCAGACTCAGAAAACAAGCGCGAGAAATAAACAGTGTAGTTAAATGTGGCCATAGTGGCAGCAGGCAACCTGCTTGAACTACACTGTATATTTCTCGCGCTTGTTTTCTGAGTCTGAATCTGAGTGCACTCTGGCCGTACCCTCAGAGAGCTATCGGTTCCATGGACTTATAATAGAGATGGGCGTTTTTAGATATTTTTGAAATCGATGCGCATCGGTATCATATAGTTGGCATCGGATGCCCGCATCGATGCCGGCATCGCATAGATGTCAACTGAATGTCGATATCTTGTATAGATGCGCGTTTTTAGATATTTTTGAAATCGATGCGCATCGGTATCAGATATTTGGCATCGGATGCCGGCATCGCACATATATCGGATACGATGCAATATGAATTTCTACAGATGCGTGTTTTGTACCCACACAAACTATCTCTTCGATTCCTTGAATCAGGACTTGAAAATGTAATCGAAAACCATTTATTTACTTTTCGGTATGTTATCTGGAAAGATTGAATGCTGGCAAAATTATTACATAAAAAATTTCACTCAGAACGTAGGTTTTGAACGCAGGCAGGATGCCAGGTTTGGATGCGCGCAGCCGATACGACTGAATGCCGTTATTGGATGCCGATGCCATCTAGTTTGTGTCATCGTTACTATAGCAACAGTGCCACAAACTTTTCTGTACAATAAACTACAATTTATCCGTAGCATTTTGACATTTTTATGACATATTTGTTCACCGCTAGCAACATCTCCACCGGCACAGATAAGTTTGTGGCACTGTTGCTATGGTAACGTTGACAAAAACTAGATGGCATCGGCATCCAGTCGCATCGGATGCGCGCATCCGAACCTGGTATCGTTATTGCGCATCGTTATTCTAAAAACGCCCATCCCTAACTTATAAAAAAAGGCGGACAGAGTCCCGGTAAACAGTAAACTATGTCGCTCAGAGTCGGCCAGGTCGCTGTTCGTACAAGCCGGCACGCACACATTCACACAATAGTCAGCCACTACGCGTGCAAACGTCAAAGCAGCCGACACGTTTTGTGGAGATAAAAAATAAGTTAAACAAGATATCTTGCTTGTAAAAACCGTAGTGACCGAAAGAAAAAAAATCCAGGAATCACGTTTCATAGGTAAATGAATAATTGAATCACTTTTTTCTAGTTTTTAGAAATCGAAATCAATTTTAATTCTAAGGACAAAATGATTAGTCTAAAGCCCAGTGTTGCCAATGTTCATGTAACCATATTACCTAAAATATGGGAAATTGGGTGGACATTAACTTCAATCTATTATTTATTATTCTTTTTTATCAGATTTCCTAAAGAAAATGTAGTATGGAGAAATTACTGGAAAATGAATGATTTCCAAACAAATATGTAGTAGTGTCATTTTTAGTTTTCATTTTGAAGCTCAAGACTTTTATACAATTAAAGGAGGACTCCGGCGTGTTATTAAGTATGCATTACCTCAAAAGGTTGATTAAAAATTTTAACCGACTTCGAAAAGAAAGAGGTTCGCAATGCGTCATATTTTTTTTTTTATTGTTGTTCGTGCAGATCTCCGAGATTCGTGAACCGTTTATGATGATTCTTTTTTTGTTTTAATCAGTTTACTAGCGAGATGGCTGCATATTAATTTACTGGAGATCTTATAAGTACTTTCGTTAGTTTGTTTTAAGAAATATGAAAGAGAATGCAGACTAGGCCATCTATATTTAGTTGATTTACCCAATATTGAGAAAATTCGAATTTCTATTGAGTCCCGACTGTTAAAGTAACTTTGTTCCTTATTAAACAGAATTCTAGACTACTAGACTTGTTTTTTTCTTTTTAGTACATTTTTTTTTATTTTCGACATTTTAATTTCATTATTTTTTAATTACACGAGTTGTATATTTTCTAAATATTCTTTTAAAACCCTTCACTTTGATACCTCGCTTGACGGGTTATATAAATACTTATACTTTTTTTCAAAATGTTTCATTTTGGCGCATAAAATCTGTTATTTTGATTTTTTGAAATTTTAATATACCGAGTGCCACTCACACAATGACGACAAATCAAATGACACCTCGCATGTCAAAATCCGTCAAGACGTTCAGGCTGTAGGGCGTGCCAAATTATTGGACATACATACATACATGCATACATACGCTCGAAAAACATTATCCTCCGCAGTCAGGCAAAAAGTAAAATTTTTGCTTTAAACTGTGTTTTATTGGAAAAAAATTGGCTAACCTAGCAACCCTATGATTCACTCACTCATCAATAGCCGCCGCCATTACGGTGCCTCAGTATTGTTTTAGCCGAAATTCTGTCCGCCTTTTTTATACGTCTATGTATCATATTCATACATTTACTACACTCGATATCGCGCGATACTTCAACGAATCAACACGCTATATAAATATATTATAAGCATTCTTATCTTACTATAACTTTCTGGGTTCTGGTGTCAATTCTGGCATGCTTCTCTAAACCTAAACTTAAATTTGACAACAGTGTATCCTTGTCATTCTTTATACAGAATGAAAAGGAGCGAATGATGTTAAATTTAATTTTAAGTTTAGAGAATTACGCCAGAATCGACACTCCAAGTTACAAATGTGACGAAGACAGGCATGTGATTTTTATACACCCAATCACAATCAAGGAAATGAATTTAAATGAAAAGTATTAATTGTCATTTGTCAGTCAATGACAAAGTTGACCACATAACGTTTCTTTAAACACAAAATTTTCCTAAATATTTTGAGAATTTATTGAAATTTTGTTGAATGAGTCTTTTTATGTACACATATAATTTTAGATGTTTTTTGAGATGATTTGTTGATTTGTTCTGTTATTTAGATTTTGATATGTGACGTTGCGAAACTTTAGACCTTTAGACCCCATGCCCCACCCCTCGTCTCACAATGGTGTCGACTTTGGCATGATTCTCTAAACTTAAATATAAATTTAACATCAGCCTCTCCTGTTCATTCTCTATAGTATAGAGTATGACAAGGATACACTGTTGTCAAATTTAAGTTTAGGTTTAGAGAATCCTTTTCAGAATCAATACCTCTGTCACAGTTCGATGACTGCCTCCCTTAACGTGTGACGTGCTTACTTTATGGATGACTGGACTCACCACACACTAGAGTCTATAACGGCTCGCACCTTCGGCACCGGAAATCCATTGAAGGCGGAAGTGATGCATAAACTATACGCGCCCATATCCCTGAACATGAGCCAATCCCCCGTGGACAACGGCGGGAGGAAAGTATTGGGAAGTACGCAGTCTTTGCTGTCGCAACTGGGGCCCCACACAGAACATGGCTGAGGTTTCTCGCATTTGGGCTGTGAACAAATTCAACGTTTAGTGTACAAGTGAAGCATTTTAATTAAATTTATCCGGTCCTACGCTGTTTGCATTATATACATCTAGCATCACTGAAGTTATTGCTAATTGTCTCTACCACCTTTATGCTGACGACACACAACTGTGTAACTTCTTAGTTTTATCGAATTTACATTAATGTGATATTGTATATAAGATCCGAGTTTGCTTGCATAACAAGCTGCAAATCTAGACAGGAGAGGGTACAAAATGCTTGCATGCGATTTTGCTTCCCAATAAAAAAGAGGGATCATATTACTCCCCACTTGGTGCAGGGTTCTGAATATGGGCGGAGTAAGGGATTTGAAATATGTTTGTCTTTTGTATTCCTTGCATAAAATAAATACATATACCGGAGCATTTGCATAGAAAGTTAAAATAGAGGACTCATGGTACTAATTCCAGGGACACTGTTAGGTGGAGGCAGAACACCAGTAACAAGTCAGAACTTGACTGTCACATGCTGCATGTAATGCATTTGTAAGATTTTTTAACCATTTTATTTATGGCCTATTTTGACCTGCTTTCGGAGTTGCATTATACAGAAGTGCTCAGTGTGCTATAATGTAAGTTGTCACCTTTATAGTCTCTGCCACCACGCCCTCGTTAGTGTAACACGTGAATTGGTCGTAGAGCACGCAGTTGAAGGATCCATAGACACCGACGTTGATGAAGTACATGGTGTGGCTCTGCTCGACGCCCTCCTGGTCCTTCTGAGTGACCTGGACAAATAAAAATAAATCAATTAGTTTTCCGATAACGCTTGGAAGCAAGCCTCTCTCCCTGTTCGTTTCGAAGGTGTAGCTTGATACTCGCCATACTTCTCAAATAGCCCTTTCCGCTTTTCTGCCTTCTGTTTAAGGTATGATACAGCCGAGCTCTTTAATAAAATACTATGTCCTTCTGTGGGCGTAGCGGAGTTGGAGTACCTTGCGAGTAGATCCGTTATCCTCTTTAACTTCTCAGAGGCAGTGGAAGGAGCCACTCTGTTTGTGTTTTCAGAAATCCTCTAAAAGCGCCACTGAGCGTGCTCGCCTTCTAGCAGTCTTTTAGGCAGAGAATGGTTACTGGCAGAAAGTTCTACCTTCAGCCAATATCGGGACTTTGCGTAACAAGAGCACTCTGCCTCTTGCAATATCGCTTCAACTTGGCGTCGAGACAAATCGCTGTTCTACATATTTAGTTCAAAGTAGAGGCAGTCCTCGTATTTACGGCATTTTAGGTTCTCGAAATACGCGACGTAAATCGAAACAACGTAAGTCGAGACATCCCTACGGACGCCGGCCCCACGGACATTGACCTCGTAACAAGTGAATTCTCCTATGCCGGAAATCGAAACACTTGACGTGTGCTTGAGGAATAGTGCCAAAACATTATTCGACGTAACTTGAAATGACGTAAATCGAAACGACGTAAGTCGAGGACTGCCTGTATCGTGAAAATATGTCAAATATCGTCCAAGTTACCAAAAATACAATACAGATTCTGAACTGAACTTCTTGACTGGCTCGGTTCGGGTGCGGTATCGTTTTGTTTTGTTTGCCATGATTTTTGTTTGAGAGAGTGACGAGGCGTGCCAGTAGAATGGTTCGGTAGTACTCGGTATCCCTCGTTAGCACTCGGTCCACAGTTCTCCGTACCAAAAGGACTTAGTGAGAAAACTCTCATTTAAGAACATGAGGTTGCATTCTTTAAATAATATGTACAGATTCGATACGAAAACGAAAAGAGCCTGCACCGATCTGGTGAAAGCTCGTAAATGAGAATTTTCCCGGTTTTTAAACTTTTGATTGCGGCTGAATCACTGAACTTAGTTTGATACATAGATACTTATTCGACGCAGACTTTAATCCTCGTTACTATTGAATCGAATAAAAATTTCCGTTGGTCGTACCGTTTTCGACATATAAGAAAAATGCTAAAATATTTTTTTTTGTTGCACGTATTCGGTTAATTGGCTCTTAACAATTATGATCACCTGCTGAGATTGTGCAAACTTAGATTACATGGATCTACGGCCAGATAAAGTTTTTGAAACAGTTACTGAACTGGAATTAAATTCCTCAAAACGTTTATTTTTTATGTAATTTATAATAAACCTATTAACTGAACTTCCATTTAAGAACCTATGAAAGTGTAAGTAATTTGTGACTTAAAAATAGTGACGATGAATGTATAGGTAAACTTAAAATGTGGGTAGCATACCCTCCTACTAGAGTGCACCATAGCGAACAATGTGTAGGCAGCGGCTGCGAAGTACCTGCCCGGCTCTGCGATCACTCGGACAGAACGATCGCTGAAGTATGTCTCCAATGCGCCGTTTATCACTTGCGACACCTGTACAGAAAGAAAAAAACAATTTGTGTTTTCATACGCGCTTCTTCTTAGTAAAATACCACTAAAAATATAAAAAAATACACTCTGCTTTACTAAGACAGAATATCCATGTCAGACGGAGTTTTGAAAATTCATACATCGTTGGGCAAAGGCAATCGAAATCAAGGGAGAAGCATTAGCGGTTAGTCTGGATATCGCAAAAGCCTTCGATCGGGTTTGGCACTAAGTATGACTGCAGCACTGGCCGATTCGTTTTTTATAAAAAGATTGGTTTGTTTAATCATGGATGTGAATTACATTGTCTATTAAATATCGAAATAAATAAAAGTATTATTAAAATATAACTGATCTTCGTATTTAATTCAAGTCAAGTAGATTATCCTCGCCACAGATGGTGCAGATAGTAACGGGTTTTACGTAGGGCAGGGCTTGAAACCGGTTTCAAAAATACCGGTAAATAAAGGTTAATACCGGTTTTTAGTAAAGATTTCGTTCGGAGCGCGTCCGAAATGAAAGCGGTACCTAAAACCTTAATAAACCGGTTTAATCCAGTGTGACACGTGCACGCGTCGACATCGCTTGAAGTTTGTTTTGTTGAACTAATCAAGTCACAACTTGTTAATGCTGAGAGATTGATGCATTTATTGACACGTTTGCTAGCGTCTAGTGAGTCAAATTATTCATTTTGTAGTTGTGTATTTATTTCAGCCGTCAGTAAGAGCGAAATGAAACCCTTTAAAAACCGCTAAATTGATTCAAAACCTATTTGATTTCGCTTTTTAGGAAAACCGTTTTTTTTTGGTTAAGGTAGAGCCAAACCTAAATAAAACGCTCCTAATGTACTTGACACTAATTTAGGTTTGAAAATTAACCGGTAAACAAGCTCTGACGTAGGGTGCTTGGTAATGCAAGATTAAATTATGTGGAATTACTAACGGTGTTATGTGACATCGATACTGCCATAAATGCGAGGCCACTTACTTAATCAGAAGATTTAGTGCCATTGACGCACAAACCATTTTATTCATCCGTTGCCAAATAACAATGTTTTGGATTTAATGGTAGACGGTAAAAGCCCGAATAGACGTTTAAAGTACATGCAAAAGTTGCGTCTGGGTCTGAGGCAAAGATTTCGCTCAGATTTATCTAGCATTGCTCAAGCTAAAGAAGTGCAAGAAAATAAGAGACACTACTATGCTGTTGGTCGCAGATGACCTTTACAGCGCCACCGGGTTAAGGGACAGCGAGATCCTATGGGGACCTCAAGCCGAGAATTGGCGGGTGCCTAGGTATTCCAGGCGGATGGCATCTCCCCACGGGGGGAGTCTCCTCTCCGTCTGAAGCCTCTAGACCACTCGAACCCTCGGGGGTAAGGCAGAGAAGGGCGGGCTGTGGCCTTATTTACGACAGGTCACCAAAGTTACATTTTTGAAAGTACATATAAATGTAAAATTCTATACAAACCAGATGAAATGACACAAAATTTTCACAGTATGTGTCCTGTGAAGATTTTAACTGTCTATCTATGACATTTATCAAGATACAGCCCTCGTACGAACGGACGATCAGCATGTCGATTCTGTAAGCTAAACTCTCACTTACGAACTCATTTATTCGGATTTTTGACAATTCCCAAATATCTATTACTGGTTGCTTCAAATAGTCAGTGCGACATTTTGCCATGTAATGGCGTAATTCATTTCAAACTAATGTCTAGAAAACATAACTGTAATAGCTATTTCTTATTTCAAATGTTTAATACCTACTTGAAAAAGTATTCATTTGACATTGTGGGTTGCCTACAATGCGAAGAGATGGCGGTGCCTTGCAGCTTAAAGCTAGGTAAATTTCGATGCGGCCATCAGGGCCGTGGTAGCATAATTGATCAGTGTATTCGCTCGGATGCGAAGGGTGCGGGTTCGAGTCCCGTCCGCTGCCTGGTCCGCGTGGTTTTTTTTCTAGTAAAACTTTTCTTTAGATTTAAACATCTAGCAGTTAAATGCTTAAAAAAAATAAAAATATAATGTCTAGAAGGTTAGCAATCGAATTCGGAGGTCAGATTTTATATTACAAAATCGCAATGCAGGAGAGATAAATATGGTTCTGTTAATGATTTCCATTCTCCTTTTAGTTTAGTTATAGTCCAATACTATAAAATTTTTTACTTGATTGAAAAAATCATCAACCATATACAGAATTACAAAGTGACTCATTTAAAGTGGTCCATTTTTAAAGTAGAGGTGGGTGGAGGACGAACGACGAATCTTTAAACGTTACGTGCTTTCTTCATGACTTTTCAGCTTTTTTAACAAATTTCATATCGATAGATAGATTAGGAGTAGATTTGAAATAAAAAGTGATTCTTTCTCCAATCGCGTGGAGTGAATAATTTTCAAAAAAGGTGCAAAGAAATTGCAACTTCTAAACTACATATTACGGATTTACTGTTCATTCTAAATGATTCGCCATGTAGTCCTCCACCTTAATAAAAATTCTTACTACTATAAATGGGCCACCTATATAATTAAATCACCTCGCGTATGTCCGAGTGCAGAGCGCCGGGGAATCCCCCACCGATATCGAGAAGGCGCATGTTCGCGTGTCCGACGTCCGCTGCAAGTGAGAACACCGCTCGCGAATGTTGGATCGCACGCAGATACACGCCTGTCTCCTGCGTGCCTGAGCCCACGTGGAACGACACGCCGATCACCTAGAATAGTGGTAAAAATATATTGTTGAGCATACAGATACAGGATAACGTCCTTATTCAAAGACGTCAAATTGTAATGTCATTCAAAGTTTCATATTGACTTAGAGCCTGCGTTGCGTTAACTCATAGCGGAAGTCCGCTCCGCGTTCTGTTTTTATGTCATTTCATAGAACAGCGCTGCGCAGGAGACGCGGCATGTACATGCAACCGAACAAATATCAAAATTGATATTTTATGCCGCTCGGTTATGCATGCGCGCGAGCATAACCGAGCGTGTGTGGCGTCCGGCGAGCTTGCCTGTCACAGTTCTCAGTTTTTAATTGTTGCGACGGCGGTAGGTCCGAGCACCATCGCGTCGTTTCGAAAATGGCTAGTCGCAAGCGCAATGCGTCATCATCCCATCATGTCATGGGGGTCATGACCCCCCCCCCCCCCCCCTCTGGGCTGGGTCCATCTGTACCCACTTCACAATCTGTACTCCACAATCTGTACCCACTGTGACTTGAACACGACTATATGACCCCCCCTTGGTGCCAAAGCTGGATCCGCCCTTGTTAACACAGCGAAGGCTCTTATTATTCTATTGACACAGCAAAGACATTGACAGCAATAACTTCATTCAAACTTAAATTTTATATAAATTGTTTACTCTAACAATCAGTAATGTAATTATTTTGCAATTTGATAGGTCTGTAATTGTATCAAAATGAGTATCGATTCTGTACATTCAGTGAAAATAGAGCTAAATTGAGTTCTATTGTTTTTGATATTATGACGACACGATCTACTTCACTGTAGCAACGAAGCAGGTCCGTGCAACGAAGTGGGTTTGTTATTGTAGAGCATTTAATTACCGCCAAATAATACCTTATGACCCGAGTTAGTGCTCTAATCATTAATATTAGGGTGAACAAGTGGCATCTTTATTATTTTTATTTCCGGCATTTATATGGGTCTCCTGCCCCAGTGTGCCGCGCCTCGGTGATGGGCGGGGTCGCAGCTGATCTTGATGCCTTGCAGGACGGATGCGGACTGCCAGTCTGATGTGTGAGGAGACCTGTCTATATGGCACTCACCTGTAGTCCCAACACGGCGGCGAGTTTGAGCAACCCCGGCGCCTCGGTCACGGGGTCGCAACCGAACTTAATGCCGAGCGGGCACCGAGCCTTCGCCGCGTCGCAACGGATGCGGAGAACCAACCTCATATGTAAACAAAACGAACCAGTAAAAAACTTATCTGTACCAGTACTATAACAAGGAAAGATTCCTATGTTCTTAACGAATAAACTCAAAAACTACCGGACGTATTTCAAAAATTCTCCCACCATTAGAATGCTACCTTATTTCTACACAATATAAAACAAAGTCGCTCCTGTTGTCTAAACGCTAAGATTTTTACGGATATAATGCAGTTTTCAGCGAAGAATAAGAAGAGAGATTAAAGAATAATTGTAGGTACTTATACTAGCGGCCGGCCGCGCCCGCGACTTCGTCCGCGTTCACTTTACATTTTTGAGAACTCCATAGGAACCCAACATTTTACTGGGATGGAAAGAATGCTGTCTGAATAAAGTAAACCATAAACAACCGAGCCTCCGCAGTAGCTACATGCAAAAAATGTAGGTACTGTGCTCAAAAAGTTTACCGCTGTCTATACAGGCTGTCTAGGTACATCATCATCACATACTGCTGGGAAACAGGCCTGCCCTATGGATGGAATAGGGAGATTTAGCCGCGAACCACCACACGGGCTCAGCGCGGGTGGGTGCTAACGACTGCAGTTGCTGCCGGGAGCCATGGCTGAAGGTGCCTTCCTAAGCAAGGAGGAGCTCGAGATAATAAGTTTTTGGTCACCCATCCAATGACCGACCATTGCAAAAGTTGCTTAGCTCCTACAATCGCAGGCCGAACGCGCTAATCACCTGCGCCATCCCGCTCCTCCTGTATAAATGCAAGGAAGAATTAACTCACTGGGCATGCGGCATGTGCTGCTTGATCTTCATGAGCTCGGCCTCCGAGTCGAAGGTCATGGTGTCGACTCCCGCGCGCGCCGAGTACTTGATGTGCGACGCCATCTTGGCCGGGTTCGCAAAAATAATGCGCCTTTTCAATACAAACAAAATAATGTTGCTTTTCAATCAATGATATACTCGGGAGTTTAATATATACCTACATATATATGTATATATTCGAATAATACACAATTAAATGCATTTCTATGGTACTACCGTTTTTACCCTTTGAGTACGGAACCCGTTCCGGAAGTTCCGTACTCAAAGGGTAAAAACGGGACCCTATTACTAAGCCTCCACTGTCCGTCTGTCTGCCTGTCACCAGGCTGTATCTCATGAAACTTGATAGTAAAAATTTTCACAGATGATGTATTGCTGTTACGGCTATAACAACCAATAGGCACTAAAAACTAAGTTAAGCAAACGTGATGTTAGCTCGATATGTATATTAAAGTGTCTAATGTTGTATAGATAATGGTACGGTACCCTTCGTGCGCGACTATGACTAACACTTGGGCGGGTTTTTATGACTCGTAAAAACTCATCGCAGTAATTTATAGAAATAACAAATTCTCTAACGCCCCTAAGAAATTATTATAAAATTTACAAAGCAGTGATAAGTACCTTTATTAATGCAATCTATCGAGGCAGCAATAAATTTAAAATAATCAAAGTGTTACAGTATTATAACGTTTGATTCTATCATTCAAAATATAAAGCAAAATGCAAACAATACATTATTATGTACGAATCTCTAGCACTCGGATTACCTAGCTTGAGGACTATTTTGTAAATCGTTGAGCTTTCTTCTTGGAATAAAGGATTTATTAACTATATTATTTTTGTGATATTATAACAGAATTGTGAGAATTACACAGTACTCACTCAGGGTGCACACCGATGCTGGTCACCAGTTCGATCTCCGCCTTGGAGGCGCAGTCGAAGCCGGTCCCGAGAGCCGCTAGGGTCGCCACTAGCAACTTGTCGTCGTTGCATTTCACCGCTGCATCAACCGTACGTTCATTAAAATTTAGAACTTTTTTTTGTTCTTTATTTATTTAGAGGCTTTCATTCTACGAATATGCCAGTCTCATCGTACCCTAACCAAAACTTATACAAAACTAATTTAATTTAAAACATTGGAGAGGACGAGCTATTCTTACTAGGGAAAACCATATCAAACATCGACTTTGCTGCGTCGGAGTTTGGTAGTGCTAATATTTCAGCAAAGGATCCTATATTCCTAAAGTTAAGTCGATATTTTCACATTCTATTAAAATGTGTTGGTTATCGTCCACTTTCTTCAAAGAGCAGGGCGACCAACAGGGGAGTAGGCCTCTGTCGATTTTCCCTCGCTGCTGGGCTGCAGCTCCATCGTCATAATTGACACATTACTCGTAGTTATGATTTTATTTATTTTTTAAGCATTTAACTGCTAGATGATCATGATCATAACTATAATTGCTATTTCTTCTTTCAAATGTTTAATACTTGAAAAAGTATTCATTTGACATTGTGGGTTACCTACAATGCGAAGAGATGGCGCTGCCTTGCAGCTTAAGGTTAGGAAAATTTCGACGCGGCTAATAGGGCCGTGGTAGCATAATGGTCAGTGCATTCGCCCGGATAGCGAAGGATGCGGGTTCGAGTCCCGTCCGCTGCCTGGTCCGCGTGGATTTTTTTCTAGTAAACTTTTTTTTTTCTAGTAATCTTTTCTTTACATTACTCGTACTTTTAAACATAGCAACTTCACACTATCACTCGCATCATAATAAGCTGCTCCTTGCGCGTCTGCGCTTTTAGAGCAATCGGTATAGTAAACTTTCTAGCCAAAATATTTCTGGTGTAATTATTCTGAGCTTTAATAATATGTTATATTACATTGTGCCCAGTCACTGCAACAATATACATATTCTTAAACGTATATCTACAATCTGTCTTTATCTACAGGAGTTTTTCCCTTCGTTGTGGAAAACTGCGAAAGTAGTACCAGTATATAAGTCTGATGATGACTTAACAAGCTAACAAAGCCAATCTCAAATTCGTCCACATTTTCCAAAATTCTAAAAATATCTATCAGATCATCAACACGGTTTTGCTAAAGGTAGATCTACATCAACCAATCTGGAAGGTTATTGAATTTATCGACCGTCATCAACAGATTGATGTAGTATTTCGTGATTTCAGTAAGGATTTTGATAAGGTTTTTCGTCGAATCGTAGTGTCAAAGTTTTGTATGGTTTCAGACGTGTTATCTTACGATGGACACATTCGTATATTAAGGATCGTAAACGGCTTTAATTCATCAGAATTACTTGTATCAACCTATGAATTATAGGTATCAACCTATGCAATAACATCAGGCGTACCACAGGGTTCCCATATAGGACCTACATTATTTAATGTAGGACTCAAATATAAGGCTCGAATGACAAAATTATTAAATAAACACTAATAAATACAAGATGCATTTGACTATGCTATTTTAACATGAAGCTATTAACATTTTACATCAGTTGTTAGCACCCACAAATCTGCACTGGGCCCACGTGGTACCCACCACGTGATTTGCCCAGTGCAATGGTTCAATTTCCTTATTTCATCCATATGGAAGATCTTTTCCCCAGTAGTGGTGATATTAATAGGCTGATGGCCTCATGATGATGATGATTTAAATTAAGGTATGGAAATAGTGAACTTTGCGTTGTATTGTGTAGCGAAAATAATGCCGTGATGAAGCTGTTTTAAGGGTCCCAAAATAGAGGTGTTATTAACTAAATGAATAAAACAACTATTCTCATTAAAAAAAACAATGATTATTAATTATTCGTATCTAAAGTACTTATATACCAATAGATATTATATATATAGAACGAGAGCGTGTTTCTATAAATGATTACTGCCATCTAGTACACAAAATGTGAACTTGAAGGCCCTCCTCGACGATGTGCCGCCCCACTGACAGCGATCTCAATTCGGTCTTCATCATGCTCCTCCGATGCAATCACCATTATGTATATCTATAATACTAATGGTGCAGTTTTACCGTAGAATGGCTCGACGCGCGGCATCAGCTCGCGCCAGGTGTGGTAGCGGGCGACCACTTCTCCAACGTCCATCACGTAGAAGGGATCCTCCTGCAGGCCCCCGTCGACGATATGCCGCCCCACAGACAGGGGGCTCCAATCGCCCTCCATCACGCGGATGCGCTGCTTCTCCGATACATTCATTTTCATTTACCCTGCTGGATAGGAGATTATTCCTTATCTATATATTGCAGGCTTAATTAGGTAGTTACGTTCATAGTTAATACCAATTAAACACATATATTCTTCGACCGAGCTTAGTGGACATACATTTTTAAACGCCTACAACACAACAACTGCCTATAAAAAATGTAACTAAGTATAAACTATTAGTCAGCTTTTTACAAAACCGAACCGTACTTCAATGGCGACCTCGCACCAGGAAGCGCTGTGTCGGTAGAACCCTCACCAGGTGGACTGACGACATCAAGCGAGTCGGAGGAACGACATTAAACGAGTTGGACGCGAAGAGCGCAAAATCGTTACATATGAAATTTCTTGAGGAGGCCAATGTCCAGCAGTGGACTTCTATCGGCTGATGATGATGATAAGTACTCGACGAACTCCTGAAAGGCGTAGGCTTGCATGTAGCATCTAGATGATACATGCAAGCCTACGCCGATGACGTCCTATTAATATGTCCTATGAATAAAATATTCTATCAACCATACACGACCTCAACAAACGCTACTGTTCAAGTTTCCATACAAAATTTGACATTGGCATTTTGCACTCGCAAACTATTCGAATTCGATTATTGTTCGTGCTAGGGGTATAGTACCTACAGTATCATCATAAAATTTACCTTACTTAGTATTATGTTTAGAAAAACAATACTTAGTTGTTGAACATAAAACCCTAAGCATGTCAACAGCACTTCCATTAAATAAAATTAAAAAGAAGCATTATTATTAAGCTATTAACTTCAAAATAATATACACGGTACAAAGTATAGTTAAGTAGGTAGATGTACAAAGTATGAAGTTATGAAACTAGGTACTTATACTAGAGTGTACAATGGACGTATGCATACTCGCTAGCTTGTGCTGTGTACCAGCGATGGAAGATTTCTGGCAGTGGTGTCAATTCTGGCGAGATTCTCTAAACTTAAAACTAAATTTAACATCAGTCTTTCCTTATCCTTCTATATAAAGAATGACAAGGATACTCTGTTGTAAGTTTAGATTTAGAGGATCATGCCAGAATCGGCACCAGTATCAATTTAAAATTGTTTAAAATATTCTCTACAACTAGGGGTGGGCGTTTTTAGAATAACGATGCGCGATAATGGATTTGCGTGCATCCGATTGGACTTGTTATTAACTTTATTATTATTATGATGCTCTTTTATTTAATATACTATTTTAAGAAACGTCTGTGTGGTGGTTTTCAACTGTTCAGCTAAAATGTTGCATTTTATTGTTTTGTATTACATTCCGTCCTCTACGCACTATCCATTTTGCTGGATCCAGCATGCGGGACAACGCTAAACCAACGATAATAATTAATACCCTAGATACAACATCACGAACAAAATCCTGGCCGAAACCTGTCCAAAAGGTACATTGGAGGATCCACGGAGCTCCGTGAGATAATCGCGTATAGATGGCATTATTTATACATCTAAATTCACCTTTAATGCAAACTGTATAAGGTCTTTATTAAAACGGATGCATCCAAGAGTTATGTCAGTTCGAAATGCAAGCTCGTAAATTTTTACGAGTTATTGCTATATGCGGAAAAATATAGACCTTATTTCTTTGTCTCTTCGCGCAATTCTGAATGCGCTGTTAGTAATTTAGCAGGCACGGACGGCGAGGTAAAGGGACGGCTATATTACCGACTTGAATATCACAAATATTTTCTTTTAAATCAGTTTATAGGAAGTATTAGAACAAAACTTGCTTCTAATTAACGTGAGTTAAATTAACAAACATTTATTAGGTACCTGTCGTAAAACGATACTTTACGCACTTTAGGTATTTTCGCATTTTTTCATTAAAGCTCTGCAGCATCTTGACTTTTCAACAGTCCGCGCATGACTGTGAACCAAGAAGTGCTTGAGTCGTGTTCAAGCACTTCTTAATTGGGACACATTTTGAGCGCACGTGGTGTATCTAGGCTATTTAATATCGTTGCTATACACGGAAAAAAGATGGAGATACAGGATCTCTTTTACGTGTATAATTCGTGTCGCATCGCATCCTGCAATACTACGATACTAGCTAAACTGACTTTCACTTGGCATCAATGCTGGCATCGGATGTGATTTGTCAAAAATGTCTATAAACGCCCATCTCTATCTACATTTAACGTAAATATTAGTCCTCAGATTGTAGGTAAAGTGAGTAAAATTTTTACGTACCTGTGATACCTGAAAATTTGTCCACAGGGTCTTCAGAAATAAGCTATTTCAGACTTTTTTTTACCAAAAATTAAAAACGACATATTTTTCAAATTTTTGTACTATATCACTAAAATAAAGCATCTTCATCAATAAGCTAAAATATGAACTAATAATTGAAGACGTTAAAATTTTAAGAGACGTGGTAATGACATTTTAAACATGGTAATTACTTTTAGTTTCTTTAAATTAATAAAATACATGTTTATTACTTTTAATGCTATTAATTAATTAAATAAAACAATGAAGGTATGAGTCTAAGGTCAAAATTCTAACGTAATATGGTAATTGAATGAGCATATTTTCTTGTCATAATTTATTTACATATCTTGACATAGTATAAAACAAAGATGTTCCTGCTGCCTGTCCGCTTAAATCTTTTAAGCTTCTCAATGGATTTAAGTGCGTTCCATGAGATCACTGATTGATATTCTAATCAAAATGATTTGATATCTCCATGAAAAATATCTTAGGTCATTAAATAAATCTAAGTCAGCCTGTTTTTCTTCTTTGGAGCAGAGAATGCTGTGTAAGAATAAAAGTAATTTATTAACATACGATTTTTAACCTGTTCTCTTTCTCTTTGTAGCAAACACTACTTTGGTTCAACTTAATTGTGTTTCTTGTAAAAGACAAGAAACTACTTTTTTCTTTCTAAGTAACTATGTCTGTGTCAGGTTTTTCAACTTTAGCATCTTTGATATTTAAAAAAATAAACCTCAATAAACAAATAAAAAAAAACTGTGTTCGGTCTGAATTCCAAAAAGGGTATAGGAGTCATCACCGTGCTGTAACGGTCACCACCGTGGAGAATATAAAACACGGTAAAACTTGGTAATTAAGTACATGGTAATGACGATCAGGCAGTTTTTTCTATTTATCTTTGAAATGAAACGCTACTCACGACCATCATGTGATTTAAAGATGACATATCATGTAATACTTTTTAATGTTACCAAACTTAATATGGTTTCGTGGGTAAGCTAGAAAATCCACGAATGTAATGCGTTTTCGTGACAAAAACAAAAAATCATAAACAAAAGTATTTAAAATTAATTTGCGGTAATAAATGAAGTAGGTATTTAGTGGCGTAATAAGCGGGTCTACGGGCTGCAAGGGAGATAGGTTCGTTATGAATAAATAGGTTAAAACTAATAGGTTGAGTGGTGCACCCTGCGACGTGTCTCAACACGGTAATGGTGTTTTTTTCTTGGGACACAATTTAAATATGTTTGAAAGCTTCATGTCTCAACTTAAATATTGATATAATTATAATCGTTATATAATGCAGTTACAAGATTTTCAAATAAACTTAGTATTAGGTAACGAATTATTTCGGATTCTGATTTTGATGTTCCATTTTAAGTTTTGGGACACCCTCGGTAATGATAAATCGACACTGAAATGTTCGTGATGACAGATTAATTGAAATATACCAACTATATATAAAGCAACAGCAAACGAAAGATCGTAACTTACTAAATATACCAAAAAAGAATCAAAATCTTTAAATTGTACAAATTATTTGAAATGACTTCACAATTGCGTATTTCTGAAGACATATCCCACAACACAAGTTAACCAGTATGTATACGTTTTTTTGTACATACACATACTAATCGATTATTATCTATATTTTGTCCATCAGAAAATAGATGAGGTCTGGCGGCCTTGGGATCTTGCACTATAACGATTGTAGAATAACTTATCTTATTATGTCTATAATAGTAGCATATTGACATTAAATACAAATAAAATTGTTGTTAATACAAAATGTTTAGAGATTTTTTTGAATACTCGCCGTTACGTATTTTTAAGAACTTACCTGCCGTGCTAGTTTTAAACTGTGTTACGGTAAAGAAAATATTCTCAATTTATATGTAGAAAAACCTATTAAATACAATGTTTAAAGTAATTTGAGTAATAAAAACATCACGTTGCATCTAATAAAATTTCATCTATGACGATGCATCGAACATTTCTATATACAATGATTCGAGTCAAAAATATATATATTTAAATTACACCAATTAGCCTAGCCCTGAAGTAAGTACTGTAAGGCTTGTGTTATGGGATACTAAGCGATAGAATACACCCATGACTGGAGTACAAATGCTCGTAATTATCACGCATACATCTGCCACCACCGGAATTCGAACCCGGGACCTCTCGAGTCGGCAACATCATGAAACCCGGCATACAAACCACTCGGCCACGGAGGTCGTCAAATTATATATACCTACTTGACTGAAAATGAAGGGAGGGGAATGAATAAAATGGACAAAGTAGTTAATATAAATTAATTTGTAAATATAAGTAAAATGTAAACAGAAGATGGCAACTGTATTGTTGAAATGTATAAGAACGAAATCTTATACATTTCAACAATACCGTTGTCATCCACGGTTTAAAGATAAATTTTCTAATTGGTCCGTACTTTGTACCCCGTATCATTGATGGTACTTAAGGCACTGATTTATCCCATTAGTACCATGAAAAAACATACAAGTATGGCACTTGACGTTACTGGCATAATAATTAAAATTCATACGTTCGGAATATTTATTTTATATTTGCAATTAATGTAACTTAACCAAAAATCGCGTACTAGACCAGGGCGGATGTTTTTGGAAATTCAAAAAGAAGAGAACATACAGAAAAAAGAGCATAAGTAATTTACGGGCAATTAGAGGTCAAGAAGGGTGGGAGGAGACAAACGGTTCATCTCGATTTCTGGGAAACTAACAACTCCTATCGGAAAAAAACAACAATAGCAAAGTAATTAATATATCAACAACTTTTGCATTTAATTTTTTTTGACGTAACAACGTCATATAATTCGTTTGAGCCGGCTGCACGCACGAAAAAACAGGACTCATGCGGCGTTACCTCGCTCTGAGGCGTTCCATTTAAGGCTTGAAGTGCGAACGAGAGCGCGCAACGAGCGACAAAAAGGCACAATCGGCCTCCTCGTTCGTCAGTGTTCGACTATCGTCAGTAAATCGACTTTACAGACAACCGATTTTTTACAAAACTACAATCTCAATAAAATCACAAATCAGATCACAATAAGGATCGCAATATACAACTTTTTTATTTCCCAGAAAAAAAAAATTAGGAAATTATTGTAAAAACTTTCTTTCTTATAACCTAAACACGCTCTAATGTTTTTATTCAAAATATTTCTTTTTCCCTTTATTTTGATATTATATCGAAAAATAACCATACCTGCAATCGAAAAATCTCACGGCTAATAGTTGTTTTTTACGTGATAACTTCTTAGAAATTGATGAACACCGGCTGACCGCACGAAAAAGTGTGACGTCATGTCACGAGTGTTCAACGTTCCGCCGTTATGGTCGAGCCCGTCACTGACCCCCTTGACCACCCCTGACCCTGACAATTCCCACTCCCTTGAAGAGAACCTCACCTCCGCGAACCTAACTCGGGTCCTCATAGATCGAGCTACACAAGCGTGCTCGGGTTAAAAAAAACCGGTACAAAAAGCCCCACAAAACTGCCCCCAGGAAAACAGCGAACGGCACGTTATCACTTAAAATCTTTTACGTGATAACGTGTTCGACTTTACAGACAACCATTTAAAAAAACAAATAGTGCGCTTTTTATTCGTTAAAACCAATCCTTTCTTATGTAAGTATACAATAAAATATACATTATCATGGAAAATATTCTTAGAAAATGCAAAAATGTTAATACTGCTGGAAATTGTGGGTTCAAACAATTCCTCAAGTTCAACAATACCTTCTATCCGGCAGAATCTTGTTGTCCGAAATTTATTTGGCATAATACGGCTTCCAAATACGAATATTTGTAAGAATTGACCGATTTTTTAAGTCCGAATTCACAATAGTATAATTTTAAGATGGCAGATTTTTTTTAAGCATTTAATTACCTTTGGCAAAATTTTATTCTGTATAATTTTGTTAAGCATAATTAATCAGTATTTGTGGTCAATGTGTTAAGTAAGGTTAGTGTTGTGACCTAATCTTAGCGCGAGCCAGTCACAAAGGACAAATAATTTTTGTTACAAAAATTAGACAAAATTAAATTAAGCTAAAATTATTTTTAGCCAGAAGGCTGTGAACCTTCTGCGATATGATGGTTCTGCTTTTTAGTTATTGTGGATATTAATTTGATGCCTAAAGGTGATTCTGGCTTAGAAAATTATGAGTTTGAATGTGTGCTAAATGAGTCAATGCCAAATGATTTTCTGCGAAATGAGGTTAAAGCCGTCTCACTGATATGAATAATAATATTATGACATTAAAAGTTCTGCGTTATAAGGTAGACCAGGATATTGTCTGTACAATGGTACTAAACGGATACATCGGTACCATTTGTACCATCAATGGTACTAGTGGGATAAATCAATGCCATTTGTACCATCTACGTTGAGCGCGCGTCGTGTGTGTGTGTACGGGTGTGGGGTATAGACTCACGTGCGTGTGCGGTGGTAGTGTCAGCGGGTGGGCGCGTGCCGCAGCCAGGGAGGGTCTATGTTGAGCACGCATCATGTGCATGTGTGTATATGGGTGTGGGGTATAGACTCACGTGCGTGCGTGTACGGTGGTAGTGTCAGCGGGTGGGCGCGTGCCGCAACCAGGGTGGGTCTACGTTGAGCGCACATCGTGTGTATGTGTGTGTGTGTACGGGTGTGGGGTATAGACTCACGTGCGTGTACGGTGGTAGTGTCAGCGGGTGGGCGCGTGCCGCAACCAGGGTGGGTCTACGTTGAGCGCACATCGTGTGTATGTGTGTGTGTGTACGGGTGTGGGGTATAGACTCACGTGCGTGTACGGTGGTAGTGTCAGCGGGTGGGCGCGTGCCGCAACCAGGGTGGGTCTACGTTGAGCGCACATCGTGTGTATGTGTGTGTGTGTACGGGTGTGGGGTATAGACTCACGTGCGTGTACGGTGGTAGTGTCAGCGGGTGGGCGCGTGCCGCAACCAGGGCGGGTCTACGTTGAGCGCACATCGTGTGTATGTGTGTGTGTCTACGGGTGTGGGGTATAGACTCACGTGCGTGTACGGTGGTAGTGTCAGCGGGGGGTCGCGTGGCGCAGCCAGGGCGGGTCTACGTTGAACGCGCGTCGTGTGTGTGTGTGTGCACGGGTTTGGGGTATAGACTTACGTGCATGTGTGGTGGTAGTGTCAGCTGGTGGGCGCGTGTCGCAACCAGGGCGGGTCTACGTCCCGTCGCGTCTCCTCCGAGCGGACCACACCCGCTCGCCCGGCACTCGCGAACGCGCCGGACTCACCCGGTTCTTCCTGCCATGACAACAAGAACAAAAAAATCTAAATCTTAGGTCCAACCACATAATAGGGGTTAACGTAAGTGCGATTATCGAGTGAAACTTTCATTGTTTCACATGTTCACTGTTTCATATATCATAGGATAATGTAACAGTTTCACTCGACATTCGTACAAACCTTGATGGAGGATCTCGATAGCGCAAGTGGTTAGCGCGATCTGCTGCGATCGTTGAAGCTTAGCAACTTTCGCAGTGGTCGGTCTTGGATGAGTGATCAAAAATTTACTATCTTTAGCTCCTTTGTGCTTCGAAAGGCACGTTAAGCCGTTGGTCCCAGCTGCATCTGTAGTCGTTAGCACCCACCAACACACTTAGCCCGTTTGTGGGTGATGGCCAGCAGTGGGAATATTAGTAGGCTGTTGATGACGATGAGGTACCTTGTGGTTCATGTTTTAAAAAATGTAAAAATTTTCGTCTTTCAATTTTGTCTTAATCAGCAGGCCACTTGCAGCAAATACGCTAAATCTCGATTCAACTAAAACTAGATTCAACTTACACAATATTGTAACAAATTGAAACTGTATTTTTGACATGTTGCGTTTATTTGCAAGGAAGTAGTTTCAGGGGCTTAGAATGAGGAGTAGGAGAGGTAGGCGTTCTTAAAAATTAAATACACTCGAGAGCAATGAATCCGGGTTACATAAAGAATCCTAAAAGTCTCGCAAACAAAGAATGCTAGCTTAATGAAATAAATAGTGTTTAATAGACAATTATATACTCCTTAAACGTTACACATTTTATTTACTACACAAAGAAAAAAACTGGCTGATCTCGCCTTAAAACCAAAATAGGAAACATGGCATTTTTGAACAACATTACGATTTTCTTGAATTTTAATACTTCTTATTGCCTCCTCGTGCTTCCATTGCTGCATTTACCCGGTTTGGCATGCTGTACACCAAGTTTCTTATACGATTTAGGGGAATATTCTCCCATTCCTCTGTGAGAGCCATTTTGAGCTCACGAAGCGTAATTTGGAGAGGGTTTCGTTGTTTTACGCATCTCCCTAGCTCGTCCCAAGCATGCTCGATCGGGTTGATATCCGGGCTGCGTGCTGGCCACTCCATACAAGTAATGTTCATCTCTTAAAGGGAGTCATTCAAAATTCATACTGCATGAAACGGGCATTGTCGTGCATAAAAATAACATCCTCACCCAAATTTACCATAAATGAACCAAAGTATTAATTCAAGATTTCTTCCACATATGAAAATGAAAATGAAAATATATTTATTGGAACTAATTTAGGTTACATGTATAATTAGGCTCGTTAATAGCTATATTAGTTTGTAGAACTGTGTTACAGCTATTAGCGCCCACCTCCAGATACAGAGACGTGTGTTCCATAATACATAAATAAAAATTACAGTTCATATCTTACCATTTACTTAAAGATAAAAATTATGTATGTGTGTGTGTGTTTGTATATATGTGTGTGTGTGTGTGAGTCTGTATATGCGTGTGTATCTGTATGTGCATGTGCGTATGTTTATGAGAGTGTCCGGTTGTACTACAATGATAGTTCATGTGATTTCACATGTATATCCGTGTATTATTTGATGACCTTGAGTAAGCTCTCCGTTTCATCATATGAAAGGGAATGCAACCACTGCCTAGCAACCGTCTGACACTTATAAAGGGTAAGTGGATATATGTCAATGATTTTGCTGGTCCGGTTATATAACAAAGGAGCAATGTTTGAAAGGTGGCGATGAGACAATGTTAGCCTGCATCTACTAATATTGCAAACCCTACCACATCCACGCTTACTTCTGGCAGTTTCTGGGTCATATGGGAGGCGACGATGTCTTTTATCTTTCGCTAGTTAAAGAGCCGTTTTCTATGAACACTAGTTCTGTGCGACTCTTAGAAGAAATTCCGGCCCACACAAATACAGACTCACCACCGTAGGCTACTTTTTCTTCGATGCATGCTTGCTTGAATCTTTCCTCAGGTCTTCTATATACTTTGTGTCGTTCATCGTGCTTGTAGAGCATAAATTTTGATTCGTGGGATACCAAAACTTTTGACCAATCATCAATAGTCCAATCTAAGTGGTAATGGCAAGTCGTCGTCTTACTGTCCATGCGCTTGGGTTCCGAGGCGTCGAAACTGATTTGTAATAAGTGTAATTGTGAGAAAGCGATTTCGAAGCATGGTGTTCACCAAGTATCGACCTTCTCGTGCTGTGGTACACCTGGTTCTGTCTGTTCCTGGTCTGCGTAGGTTAGAGCCAGTTTCCTCGTAACGTTGGAGAACTCTTTGTACTGTTGACAGGGACACACCGACAGACCTGGCTGTATCACGCTGACTCCGGCCGGTTTCCAGCGTTGTAAGAATTCTGGTGCATTCTTCAAGTATAGACATGATTACAGCTTAAATAAATAATCAATATTAAACACTATCGACATGGTTTATATAAATGATAAATGGCAGATTTCTAATCTGTCAAAAGCAAAAACAAATGCAGTAATTTCGTAGTTCCATCTTCGAAAGTCTCCATTTTTCAAATTTGATTTTTTTTTATGATTTACCTAAAATAACTAAGATGTTTTAAAAACTTAATTTAAGGAGTATTTAATTGTCTATTAATTACAATTTATTTCATTCAGCTACCATTCTTAGTTTGCAAGATTTTTAGGATTCTTTAATTGACCCGAATTCATTGCTCTCGAGTGTACATCACTAGAAAGTATTATCATTTATATCATGTTTAAGACTTTTGTATGACACTTTAACTGTATTTGTTATCTTTTCCATGTCGATCAAAATATGTACCTATCTAAATAAAGCTTAAGTAATCAGAGCTCTTCACAAAAAATACGACGAAACCACTACGATGTTATTTTGCAACATTAATGAGAACAAACCAATACTACTAGGTAATCCATAAACTAATATAAAAAAGCGAAAGTGTTTGTATACCTGTCTGTTACCTGTTCACGGTTAAACCGCTGACTCGACTTGAATGAAATTTAATATTGAGATAGTTCGTGTTGGGGAAAAGCTTTAAGAAAAGTTTCTTTCCGAAAATATTATTCTTTTTGCAATGGTAAGTGTGTACTGCAGAGATAGTCCCATAAAAAAAATACTTCATCATCATCATCAGCCTTTTATTGTCCCCACTGCTGGGGCATAGGCCTTCCCTATGGATGGAATAGGGAGATTGGGCCATGACCCGCCACGCGGGTCCAGTGCGGATTGGTGGGTGCTAACGACTGCAGATGCAGCCGGGACCAACGGCTTAACGTGCCTTCCGAAGCACGGAGGAGCTCGAGTCAGTAATTTTTGGTCACCCATCCAATGACCGACCACTGCGAAAGTTGCTTAACTTCAACGATCGCAGCCGAAAGTTGCTTAACTTCAATGATCGCAACCGAACGCGCTAACCAATTGCGCCATCGAGCTCCACAAAAAAAATACTTGATGATTGACAACTCTTAGTAGGATCATAGCAGAACAGTTGAATTATGAAATACTAGCTGTGTCCCACGGTGTTACCCCCGGTTCATTAGGGATATTTTTCTCGCAGTAAAACGTAGCCTGTGTTAATCCAGGGTGTCAGCTAATTCCATACCAAATTTTATTAAAATCGCTCAAGCCGTTTAGACGTGAAGAAGTAACAAACATACAGAACTCACTCAGAAAATTTTCGCTTATATAATACTAGAGGTCGCCCGCGACTTCATCTGCGTTAACTTAGTTTCTTTGTAAATCCCTCTGGAACCTAACACTTTTTCGGGATAAAAGTAGCCTATGTGTTAATCTAGAGTGTCAGCTAACTCCATACCAAATTTTATTAAAATCGCTCCAGCCGTTTAGACGTGAAGAAGTAACAAACATACACACTCACATACAAACTTTCGCCTTTATAATATTAGTGTGAATTAGTGTGATTAGTGTGATTGCTATGTTGACAGATGCAGTCGATGCCATAGAGGAAGAGGGTGTGACTATCAATTTTAAAGGTTAATTGTGTCGTGTGAAATAGAAAATAATTTTATAAGGATTTCATTTACTTTTTATAAAAACTTCATCGTTAGCTAACCGCTAATGAGATGTCAGGGCAGGCGGAAACATCCTATTACTTTTAAAGATTAATTATATCGGGTGAGTGAGATATCTTTTAAGATAGCTTTTTATAATGGTTTTTAAATATTTGCCTGCTTAATTTGTGATTATTTTTGTTAAAATTGACCAATTAACTATTCCTTTTGGGGTAAAAACAGGGGTGGTAGTGTGTATATTGGGAATTCGGGGAATCTTAATTTAAAAAAAAGTTAATCTAAAGAAAAGTTTACTAGAAAAAATTCCACGCAGACCAGGCAGTGGACGGGACTCGAACCCGCACCCGTCGCTACCGCGGCCATGACGGCCGTGTCGAATTTTCTCTAGCCTTAGGCTGCAAAGCAGCGCCATCTCTTCGCATTGTAGGTAACCTAACAATTATACTTAAAAAATAAACACATAATTAAAAAAATATTTTTCTTAAATATTTGTATCTGTTGCACATTCTATAAGTAGTCGAAAAAAAAACATTTTTTCCGTGGGCAAACTATACGTGGCGTACAGTTTGTAAGGATGGGAAAACATGAACGCAATTAACAGAAATATAATAAAAATTAGTCCAACTCCTTTCAGACATTTTTGTAATCACGCAAAAATGTCTGAAAATTGATACGAATTATTTTAAATTTTTGGTGTAAAAACATTGATAAGTATATTTTTTTAAATCCCTCCACACTCAAAACACTTTTTACAACGACATTCTTACATGTGTATATAATAAGTGAATGGAAAAAGGATCTCACCTTTATCAGCGTAATTCTCAAAGCTTTTACTAAAACTGTATGCGACCAAAACGCGGTTTCAGATCAGATGAACTGATCCGCACAACTTAAATGTTAGGACTAAAAAAAAAGAACTTCTACTTTCACTTTGAGCCTTATGGTGATAAAACTGATTGCTGTTGTTGTGGCTGATGTAAGACATTTAAATGGGCGTCGTTATCAGTGTACTACTCAGGGATAAGTTATCACAGTCAACACAACAATATCTTCCGCAATTAGATTCGGAAAAGGTTTGAGACAATAATGAGTAGCTCGATGGTGCGGGTGGTTAGCGCGTTCGGCTGCGATCGTTCAAGTTAAGCCACTTTCGCAGTGGTCAGTCATTGGATGGGTGACCAAAAATCTTCTATCTCGAGTTCCTCCGTGCTTTGGAAGGCACGTTAAGCCGTTGGTCCTGGCTGAATCTGCAGTCGTTAACACCCGCCAATCTGCACTGGGCCCGCGTGGTGAGTCATAGCCCAATCTCTCTATTCCATCCATAGGGAAGGCCTGTGCCCCAGCACTGGGGACATTAATAGGCTGATGATGTGAGAATATTGCATCATATCTCCCATACTGTTCAATATGACTGCAGTTTTTCATCCGTGCGGTGACGGAGAAAGAATACAACTCACCGCCCCTTCTCTTCCCGTGGGTGTCGTAAGAGGCGACTAAGGGATATCGGAGCTTCCATCCGCTCTGCTGGTGGTAGGGTGCCTAACACCTGCCTGGTTTGTTACCACCGTGCTCATGGTGAAAAACCCGTGAAGTGCTTCTCGCACGTTTCGGGGTCAGCCAGCGTACAACCAGGGCTCGAGTGTAGGTTGTCGCGACGGATTCGGTCCAGGGCGAGGCATCCGTCGCACCGATGCCGGGAGGACTGCATCGACCCGCCGGTCAGGGAGACCCGTAGAAACGGCTGTCCCGCTGGCCACCCATGGCACAGTACAGGGGCCCGAGCGTTCCTAACCAGTTCGCGAGGCTGCCCCATCATGTCACGCATAATCTCGGGGTGGACCGTCGTGCCGGTTGGTGACCGGGGCGTGGGGTCCCGGCGGCCACTTCCGGGGGGGTGCGGGGGGCCTTCCGTCCGGCGGGTCGGCGTATATCCTCTGCAGGCAATTATTCGGGGAAACATGCCTCCCTAATTTGCCCGATCTTGTCGCGACAACGTCCACTCGTTTCACGTCTCTTTATCACTTCCATAACGGCAGCTCTCAAAACAAAGTTTGGACGTACAGCGGTGCACACCCCCACGCCTTCAACGCTGTTTGAGGTCGAGTTCTGCAACATACGCGGACTCCACTCTAACCTCAAAGCTATCCACCACCATCTTGAGACAGCACGGCCAGCATTGTTGTTCCTGACGGAGACACAAATACTTCCGCCTGCTGACACAGGCTACCTTAATTATATTGGCTACGTGCTTGAAGAGTCCTTCAAAGCGAAAGCCGGTGTATGCCTGTATGTTCGGGCGGATGTTTGTTGTCGCCGTCTCCGCTGCTTAGAAGATCCCTCCTTCTCTATGTTGGGGGTACGCGTCGATTCTGGTCCCCAGGCCAGAGTCTACGTGTGCCTCTACAGATCCCACACTGGCGATGTTGAGACAACTAGACTTTTCGAACATCTTAGTCGGGCAGCAGATGACGCGCATGAGCAATTTCCCAATGCAGAATTGGTGTTTTTGGGGGACTTTAATGCTCACCACAATTTGTGGTTAAGTTCCTCGAAAACTGACCATGCAGGGATCTCTGCTCACGCGTTCGCTCTCACGCAGGACTTGAAGCAACTGGTCGATCAGCCCACCAGGATTCCAGATATTTCAAGTCAAGCGCCTTCATTACTGGACCTTCTGCTCACGACCCATCCCAAGGGCTATCAGGTTGTGGTAGGAGCCCCCCTGGGCTCTTCAGATCACTGCCTGATATCTGCTAAAGCGCCACAGGCCAAGCTTCCGCGTCCAACGGTGGTAAAACGCCGGATTTGGCATTATGGGTCGGCAGATTGGGACGGTATGCGTGACTACTTTGCGTCCGTCCCTTGGAAGCAGCGCTGCTTCAGTGACAAGGACCTATCGGCCAGCGCCGTTGCTATTACTGAGGAGATTGTAATGGGTATGGAATACTATATTCCTCATTCCAATCTCATCAGTAAGGGCACACGTAACCTCTGGTTCAATCACGACTGTGCTGAAGCTGCTTCGCGTAAGCAAGCGGCATATCGTGCTTGGATCAGAGGCCGCGCTCTTAAGGATCCCGGGGTCGATTCACTAAAAGCACCCTACAATATTGCTTCCAAGGCCTGTAAGAAGGCTTACATCAGAGCGGATGCCCAGCGCGTAGCACGTGTTGGTCACGAACTTATAACGCATCCTACGGGCTCCCGTAGCTATTGGCGTTTGGCCAAGGCCGTGCAAAAGAACTTCTGCCAGCCCTCGCTGCCACCTCTGAGATGCCCAGACGGAACACTAGCTTAAGCCGCAGGAGAAAGCCGATTTACTGGCAAAATTCTTTGCGGCTAACTCCCGAATCGATGATTGCAATGCACCGCCACCATCATTACCTCATTGTGGCACAACGATGCCGGATATCAAAATCAGGCAGCGTGAGGTTCGTGCCGAATTGCAATCACTCGACGTCCGGAAAGCTAGTGGACCCGATGGCATCCCAGCAGTAGTACTGAAAAAATGTGCAGCGGAGTTGTCTCCCGTGCTCACGCGTTTGTACCAGTGCTCGTATTCTTTGGGACGTGTGCCGGAAACTTGGAGAGTTGCTAAAGTGCAACCGGTACCCAAAAAAGGAGATCGCTCAGACCCGGCCAATAGCAGTCACCTCAGTATTATGTAAAACCCAGGTCTGTGCTTTCACGGCAAAAACGTCGCCATTCCTTTTATATCCTTCTCTTCAGGGCACACCACTGGAGCTAGAGAGCAGTATCACCATGCTCGGTATGGAGATTCGCTGTGACTTAAATCCAAGGAATTACATCGAAAGTGTGATAAAAACAGCCTCACGCAAACTCGGAGTCCTGAACAAGGTGCGGCGTTTTTTCACGCCCGAGCAACTGTGCTTGTTGTATAAGACGCAGGTGCAGTCTTGCGTGGAATATTGCTCGCAACTCTGGGATGGCTCCGCTAAGTACTTGCTCGATGCTTTGGATAGGTTACAGCGGCGCGCAATCCGCATCATAGGCGATGAGGAGGTGACTAAACACCTCGAGCCTCTTCAATTACGCCGTGACGTGGCGTCACTAAGCGCGTTTTATCGTCTATACCACGGCGAGTGTTCTGAGGAGTTATTCTCTCTTATTCCACCTTCCCCTTTCCTTCAGAGGACCACGCGCGCTGGCTTTACGTTGGCTAGACGTTGTCACCGTCTAACTGTGGCTACAATTCCAACGCGTACAAAGAAATTTGGTGACTCATTTCTTTGTCGTACTATCCGTAAATGGAATTCTCTGCCCGCTCACGTGTTCCCTCCCTCTTACAACCTGGGATCCTTTAAAAGAGGCGTGAAGAAGCAACTTGCAGGCCGGCAGGGTGAGGATGGCTGGTGTGGCAGTTAGAACTGCTGTATCAGCTATCTTCGCGTCTGGACTTCACCTTCACTTAACATCAGGTGGGGTGGAGTCATTTGTCGGATCTATCTATATAAAAAAAAAAAAAGTGTATACTTGAGGACTGTAGTGACAATAGAAGACCCCAAAAATCTAAGGTATGCTGACGACACTACCTTGTTGGCTAAGACTGCAACTGGAATGGTCAGCTTACTTGACTTTCTTAACTCTGTCAGCCATCAGATGGACTTTCGAATTAATCAATCCAAAACAATAATACTCGGCCAGTATGACATGGTTCAAGCATTTGTGTCTATCCAGTATCTTCAACAAAGGTGGAACAGAGAGTGCACACGGTGCAACGGAATGGCAAATTCAGCAATGAGAGAACTGGAGAAAGTGTGTAGAGGGACACCAAAATATACTAAAGAGGACTAAAATCAAAAGTCTGACCTATTTTATTTACGGAGCCGAAACACAGATGGTGAAGATGACTGATCGAATACATGTCGATGCTTTCGAGATGATGATTTGAGCTGGCGGCGCATTTTACGTGTACATACACAGGACAGCTAATAGGACAAATAAAAATAATGTAATATTTAATCATTATATAATGATCATAAATCATCTCTGAAGTCAGTTTTCAACTTGACAACTCTGTTAATAATAAAACAGGGAGAAAAAAACAGCCCCTGCTGAGTTTCTTGTCGGTTATTCTCAGTACAAGTTCTCCCGCCATAGATTTACGAACCGACGGTGTAGCTTCTAGACTTTTATGAGTGCTTGTAACAGCCTAAACTGAATAAATGATTTTGATTATGATTATTATTATTATGAGATGCACAATTTTGGAGGGAGCTGAATGTAACACGGAGACTTTCAAGCGTCTGCCTCAAAAAACTGTTGCAATACTTTGGCCACATGGCCCGAAAAGCCCCTGAAAACCAGGAGGAGAGATTGTTACGGGTAATCTCGCAGGCAAAGAGCAAGAAAACGCAGCCTAGCTAAATGGAACGACCAAATATCGACATGTCTAAGCACCACCATCACTGAAAAAATCACTCGGATATAAATTCCGAGACAAATCACCTATAAACAATTAATTGGAGTTTACTCCTTAAGAATCGATTTGCATATATAAGGGAAGGGTATGAGAAAAATGTGAGGAGTAAAATCTATCGATGAATGACCTCGTTACGTTTTTGGTGCGCATCGTGCGCATGCGATGTTGCGGCAACTTTGACAAACAAAGATGACGGATTGACATTAATATTTTTTTTGAAATCTGAACTGAATTTATATATTTTATTTTTTAAGGTTTTTAGTTTTAGGTTCATTGTTATTGTATATTTTTTGTTTTAATTATTCTTAAATTTATTCATATTGCTTCTTGAACATATGAAGATTATAAACAAATAAATAACATATACCTACACAAATATATACATATTTAGATATTGTTTCTGATAGAGCAATGGGGACAACGAGGTATGGTACAACCATTGATGCGGTATTTTCAAGATTCCTGAACCACGTATCTACGAACGTCCATGTGTCTTATTTTAGTTACCATAAACCACTTGTCACTGTAATTAATAATGCAGACAATGTTGATTTAATTAATATTTAAAAAAATGATAATAGTCTGATAATAATAATTACATAATTTATCAACATTCCTAATGATATATTTATGCACATCTGAAATTGACTATTGTAAAAAGTTTAATGTAAAATATTTCGTCGATT